TTACTATATTATAATTATTTACAAAATAATATTTATTGCTTTATACATAGCATTATTTTAGCCAAGTAAAAATGTTGTCTTTTCTAATGTACTAATAAATGTACAATTACTTACAAGATACATCATTTACAAACGAATCAAGATTATAATATATATATAAGAGATATTAATCATTAAAACAAACTTATTAACAACATGAAACTATAAAATTTTGCAGTTATTTAGTTGGATTTAATATTGCTTTTGGTTGTTAAATTGAAATAAAAAACATAAATGTATATGGACTCGGCATGTTTTGCAAGCAATATAATTTCTTATATAATAAATATATTAATGTTTGTTGTTTTCTCCTGCCGTTGCAATAATTGTTTTAAATTTGATAAGAATGTTTTACCTCCCGATGTAATAGACCTCGCATCCATTTAGTTTGGCAGCAAATCATTTAGCACTTCTTTCGCGTCATGATGCAATGTGTCAGGAAATTTGATATCAAACGATACCAGCAAATCACCACGACGGTTTTGTTCCTTAGGATATGGTAGGCCACGCCCTGATACTCGCTTAATAGTGCTTGGTTTGATAATTTCATTCTGCATATTCAAGCCGATACGGTCACCTTGCAGTGTTGGAACTTGTACTAATGTGCCGCACAATGCTTGTTTTAGGGAGATTACTGCACTATATTTGAGATCATTTCCATCACGTTTGAACAGGTGATGTGGCTTATCACGAATAATAAAAATAATATCGGCGGGTATTTTGCCAGGCTTTTGATCGCCTTCTTGTTGAAAAGTTATTTTGGTACCAGCCTTCCACCCCGGTTTCACATTGATATTTATTACTTTCGTCTCTTTCCGAGAATTACCATCCGCACCATGACACATACGCGATATTTTCATTTTTTTTACACAACCCTTGTCGATCTCTTCTAATGTAACATATAAATCATGCTCAATAGGCGGATCTTGAGCTTGTCGCTTCCGATTTGGTTGTACATTAAATGATTGTGAACGGAATGCCCCGCCTAGACCGCCAGGCATTTGTGTAAATTCACCATCATCAAACATACTCTGAGTTTGGAATGTACCGTGTGGAATACCACCGCCTCCGCTATTGTCAAAGAAGAAACTAAACGGATCAGATGAGCCAAAGAATTGTGCAAATGTGCTACGCGGATCACCGTGGAATGTATATGTGTTAGTACCGCCACCTGATTCATTGCCACCGCCAGGTATGCCACCTTTAAGGCCCTCTTCACCATACTGATCATATATATCTCGTTTGCTTTTATCTGATAGTACCTCATAAGCTTCTGCTATTTCTATAAAACGTTCTTCTGCTTGAGGTGACTTATTTTTATCGGGATGATATTTTAGTGCCAATTTCCGGTAGGCTTTTTTGATTTCCTCCTCGGTGGCATTTTTGTTAATTCCCAAAATTTTGTAATAGTCTTTTCCCATTTTTCTTTTGTATTTTTAGAGGCTTTTTAAATATTCTAAAAAATAGAAGATAATTATTAAAATATGTAAATAATCAAAATAATATTTTAATTCAAGTAATATGTGTAGAATATTTATATTTTAAACAATATATTTTCGTTTTTGTTTATGACATAAACGTTTTTCTATATTGTGCTTGTTATGATTGGAAATTAATTCTTATTTTCAAATTGTTTAAATAAAATTTCAGAATTCTAAGCATTCTATTTTAAAAATGTCCGTTAAAACATAATTACATATAAAGTTGAAAGAGAAAAACCTTCAAAACATAACAATAAAAGAATTTTCTAGAAATTCGTTATATCGTTCTTATAGGTGAAATCCTAAACGAAATTATTTACATTGCATATGTATAAAAATTTCATCCTCCCTGCCCTGCCGCCCTAAGTAAAATTAAATTCCGTTAAAGTCAAAACAAAGAAACTAGCTCACTCTAACCAATTGTTATACATACAGAACCCAACAAAACTCATTCATTTGCATTCGCTTGCACTTATGCTTTGTTGGATGACGTAAAATCTGTAGATAAGTCAAGAAAAATCTTAAATCTTGTAATTTGGTCATATGCAAAGAAACTTTCAAGACCTTAAACTCAATAAAATCTCAATTATTTATGCACAGTGAAATTCAATTCTTTTTCAAATATTTATATAAGACAATAAATATATTAATTTATTTAAGAGAATTTTTTCCTGTTTGAAAATATATGTACACCACGTATTCACTTTACAATTTTTTATGGCATTTAATATTTTCAAGAAATTATTTAAATACCGCTTAAAATGATAATATCTTAATCTTTGATATTCTACACATTATTTAATTTAATTTTAATTAACTTAGAATTATTAATTATAATGGAATTAATAATTTGATTCCAATTTATAACATTTCGTACCTTTTTCCACTTCACAAATAATTTATCTCAAATATTATTGTTTGTCGTAATTTATCAGTCTATAAACAAATATTTTCACTTTAAACAAAACTCGGCAGATGTATACTTTATTATTTAATGTTAGGTACACTTTTTATATTATTTAATCAAAACCGTTCAATACGTAGGAATTTATACGCTCCTTACTTCTCTACAACAAATTTCTTTTTCAATTAACCGACTGTGGCCAATGACAGCTATATTTATAGAAAATTTTGATACGATGTTCTAGAATATTCCGGATGAATTTGACGTTTCTCGAATTTGCTTTCTTTCTCTCCTTCTCTAAATCACGCTTTAATTATTTGTACAAAATTTTGCTACAGTGTTGTATTTATTCGAATTATATGAAAATATTTATAAAAACGCCGAGTTTGACAATTACTTGTTAAAATTTGTTTGCTATATTTATTTGTCTTATAATCAATTTTAAAACTGATTTAAAAATTAATTTCAGGAGCATTGTATTTTCTAAACCATTGTTGAAGCCATCCATAAAGTATGTACTCATTGCCTTCATAAAAGGAGTTTATATGATTTAGGTCGCTAATGAAGTTGTTTATTCGTACAAAAAGCTTTGATACTGTCCAATTTAACTAAAATTAAATTAAAGGGTGTTACTAAAAAATATCGAATGCAACGTTGGAAATCACATTTCTCGAAGGGGAAATGATCAAAATTTAATAGGAGTATTCAGGATATCTGTGCATCGTTGAATGTGCGTCATTGCAAACTCAAATAATCGTGAACACACATTGTGCATACTAGTCTTGAAAATATTTAGAACAGCTGATTTTTGTTTACATATTTAACGATGCCAAGAAAAAATGAATAGCAGAATATACTGAACACTGTGCTGGATTTTGATGTTGCAGAATTAATGGGTAATTTAGATTCGTGCATTTATATATTTAATATAGCAGTACATTTATATTCATACGAATTTCAGAAAGTGATGGTGATTCAGATGGTGGCGATTTAGAAGAAGACATTTCCACTGTGCTTAGGTGCCGTCATGGAATTTCAACAAAGGTTTCAAAATCGATTGAATAGTTCACTGATGTCCTCACGACTATTGATGACAATAGATTGCGTCAAATGCTGAGTTGGGCGACTACAATTCCACAAAATCGTTAACTTTTTAGCTAACGACGAAGAATTTACTAAGGACGTGTGCGAGTTAGGCTAAGTTGCATTTTATATGAGGAAAATTCTAAGTTGTGCCGATACATGTATAAATCACATGTATAAATCAACTTGTATATAAATGGAAACGACTAGATTTGAATTTGATGAATTTACATTAATTTAGCTGCAGTGTGAACATGGTATAAGTTGGTTAAGAGTAATATAACATTGTATTATTCCGGATAACCAAAACCCCATCAAATCACTCAAAAATTCGTCGCTCCCACCAGATCATGAGTACGATCGTTATGACACCTTAACAAGCTAACTACAGCAAATAATACTAATCATAACTTAGTTCCAAAGCACTCTACTGTCAGAGGAAACCAACCCGCAAGGCAGTAAAGACCGTGGCGACCGCGCAATACTTGGGAGAGACAAACTGAAACCACATTAAGAAACGCTGAAAAAAGCTAGAGTGAAACAAAACATCTTGCATTAGATAGAGTTTAATGAAAATTATTTGCTACAGGCCTATGTTCCACCGAGGAATAAAAGGATTAGTTTTATTTAAATTTTAATTTACTTCCACTTTTTCGTGTCATTTTCTTGCTTTAATGTAAAGTAAATTAAAAAAAAAAATTTATTAGTTTTAGCAACTGAATATTATAGGTATACCTGAAAAAAATTTAGAAATTTAGACCTTTGAGACTGCGTCTGAAAATATTTATTATGACTAAAAATGAAAAAAATTCGCTTTCCCTAAAATCCAGAAAATCAAAAATTGATAAATGAGTAATGAATTTTCTAGTTATTTTAAGATAAACTGCAATGTTGATGCAAGAATTACTTGCTCTCGACGACTTATAGCAAAACTTTGCAACCATTCCTACGTAATGGTGTTTTAGTCACTTTGTCTAATAACGCGAACAATTTGTTTTTTGTCATAGTTTGTTTTGCAATTATATACTCAATCCTACTCTTTACTTATAAGCTCAACTTATTAATCTGTAGAAAATGAAATACACTTCGCAAACCTTTTTCGACGGCTTCCACAACATTTAAGAATCAGTTAGATGGTAAATAACGTAAGAAATTAATTCAAAGCGAAATGCACAATCATCCAAACCTGCGTATTTGATAGGAACGAAATAAACAAATGCGGCGAACATTGTTTATTTCGTTTCTATCAAATACACAGGTTTGGTTGGTTCTGCATTTCGCTTTGAATTAATTTTTTACGTTACCTACCGTCTAACTGAGCCTTTAATCCAGTGGCACTACTACTTTTTTGTAATAATCAGTGGGTTAATATGCATCTCTCAAAACTTATTGGAACGCTTCTGAATATGTCAAACGGAAACGTTCTGCTCTCATCAAGCCAAGCAAATAAATGCAATTGTCTTCCTGTATATTTTTAGGATGGCAACGTCGTTTCTTGAGTGAAATTTTGACATTAGTGGAAAACGCAACAAAACACCACGAATTATTTGTATCAAATATAGAATTAGTTATTTCGTATAAAGTGGATAAATTATGTCCCGGCAAACATCTCGTTTTGACGCAAAAAAAGTGGTAAGTAATATTATTGTGTGCGTTTTAGAGTTAATTTAATTTATAAGTAGAACAACCACAGCTTAAAACGGCTTCCTTCGATTTTCCAGCAGTAATAGCAAAACAGTATAGGCGTACTGCACCAAACACGGCCGAGCATTTACTAATTTATAATGGAAAACCATTCTGCCAATACTGCAACACCTCAACAACAAGAAAACATAAGTGCAAACAATAATAATACAATTATTTCTAGTGGTGGCGGTCAGGCGGGCAATCAAATTCAAGTGATACCAATGCCTGCAGTTATAATAGGACAACAGCAAGCGCAAGCGGCGGGCGTGCAGCCGCAGCTTATACAATTGCAACCGAATCAAATAATAATGCAACAACCACAACAGAACACGCAGCCGATGCAATTAATGCAATTGCCTGATGGGCAGACATTGTATTATCAGCCCACAGTATCATTGGATCATACAGCTGCTGTTGCGGCGGCAGCGCAGCAGGCTCAGCCGCAATATATAAACATAAATGGGCAACTTATGCAAATAGCCACCGCTACACCGCAATCTACTCCTACAGCGGCAGTGGGGCAACAAATAATTATGATGCCTCAGACGGGTGTAACTACAACGGGAGTGAGTGCGCCTGTAACAGCTGCAAGTGCAATTACCGCCCAAGCGCAAAATGCGACTGCCACAATTAATAATTCGAATGCGACAAACGCAACAGATTCTTCACCTACTACATCTCAAGCTGTGAACGAGGATGAAGTGAAACCGGAAGCAGAGGAAGAACCACTTTACGTTAATGCGAAACAGTACAAACGTATACTTATACGACGACAAGCACGTGCCAAACTTGAGTCTCGTATTCCTAAAGAACGCTCCAAATATTTGCATGAATCACGTCATAGGCATGCTATGAACCGTGTACGAGGCGAAGGTGGCCGTTTTCATTCAGCTCCAGAAAAAGGCGATCAGCTGCATTCTATTGGTGGCAGTAGTAGTGGGCAACAAATGCAACAAACTATGCGTTCCACAGTACGGACACAGCCAAAACTAATAGCCCCACATCAGACGCCAAACATAACGATAACGCCCATAAAATAACTCAGTGAAATATTTATATTTGTAAAATATTTTAGAATTTAAGTTTAGCAATTAAGTTTAGTTGTAAATAAAATAGAAAACACTTGACGCAGTTTTTAAAATATAAAATTCAATTATATACTTATACAAAATTACTCTTATAGTCATTTTATATACTATTTATACCATTGAGACAAATAAACATTACTAAATCGCATATTTGTTTTGTCTTTTGTAGAACGCGGAGTTTTTAACTCTCACCTATGGCGCTTTGGTGACACAAATGTTGCGTGACTTCGAGAATGTCGAGGATGTTAATAAACAACTCGAACGTATTGGCTACAATATGGGTATGCGTCTCATAGAAGATTTTCTAGCACGCACACAAGCTCCACGTTGCTTGGAGATGCGCGAAACTGCAGATCGCATACAGCAAGCATTCCGTATTTATCTAAATGTGCAACCATCAATTTCTAATTGGTCACCTGCGCTAGATGAATTCTCATTGATATTCGATTCAAACCCTTTAACGGAATTCGTTGAACTTCCACAAGATTTGACAAATTTGCGTTATAGTTCAATTTTTAGTGGCTGCATACGTGGTGCACTCGAAATGGTGCAACTTGAAGTGCAGTGTTGGTTCGCTCAGGTATAATCGTATAATATTTTTAAATAGTTTAAACCACATCTGGTGAATTTTAAATTTATTTTAAAATTATAGGATCAGTTAAAGGGTGATAATGTTACAGAGCTACGAGTTAAGTTTATTAGGCGCTTGGAGGATGCTATTCCAGCTGGAGAAGATTAAAATTATTTAAAGTATTTACTATTTTTAATGAAGTATTTATACGGTTATGTATCATTCAGATGAATCTAGACAAAATATAAAACAATTAGTAATAATTATTTAAGCAGATTATATTATATTGCGTGCATACGACTAATCTATTGAATATATTCGCTTGAATGAAACTGAAGAAAAAACTTAAAATGTTTATGTGCTTAAAACTAACTTTGGGAGAACAATTGATACTTGTATCAAAAAAAATATATGCGGTTATATTGACTGCCAGATTTTATGTTGATTCCATCAGTACTTCAACTATGCATATGCGATCGAATCAATCTTCCATGCATAACAACCAAGTTGTCTGTTCAAACTGGTGGTTGAATGTAATTACAACAGATTACAAGTTGGTTCCATCATTGTTTTCAACTAAGTATTTACCATATATACAAATGAATATATACATATGTCTTTCATCTACAACGATCTGATTTTACTTAAACCTACTGAAGAAATTTTACAGTTCGAAACGACAGTGAGAGAACATCGATCACACCAACAATATTCATTTATATTACACAATCACGTATAGACGAAATTTTCAGACATACATATATATATATATATATATATATGTATATATGTATAGATGAATTAAAAAAACAGCATACCTATTTAATTATATATAATAAAAACCGATATGGGGATTTTGGTAATCATAAAAAATATTAAAATAATTTTAAGATAAAGTTTTCTGGGATTGAGTATTTTTCAAAAAAATTAGCTTTTTACTACAATTAAGTAAAAGTATATGTATATATATATATATACATACATATGTATTTTACATATATAATTTGAAGACAGTTTTCTGTTGAATATTTTCCAAAAAAATCAGCTTCAAACTTAGCTTCGAACTTAGTCTAATCACATGAGATTGTGATTAGATTTGCTTCGTTTCCATGTTGTCCTCGGCCCACCGCGATTTCTTCTTCCCTGCAGATTCCACTCGAGTGCAGCATAAACAATTTCGGTGTTTGGCTTGCGAAGAGTATGCCCCAGCCATCCGTATTTCCTCTGGATTATTTCTTTATCAATTATAGCTGTTCGTTAGTTCGTGCCATGAGGCTTTCATTACCAATAGTTTGTATATATGGCTATATATACATATATGTATATATGAATTATATATATATACAATTTAAAGATAATAGCATTTTTCCGCTGGCTTCGTTAGACCAGTTCAAGCAATCTTAAGTAAGTTAACTGGTCTAACGAAGCCAGTGGAAACATACTATAAGTCTATTTTCATAAAAATCAACTTTTAACCACTATAAATTGGGAAAATTCTGAATATGACTGTGTATATATATACGTAAATACATATACATATATGTATATACATAAGTTTAAATAAATATACATAAATACATATATGTACATAGTTTGGAAAAATACGCTTTCTGGAATTGAGATTCTCAATCGTATTTCTAACATATTTTAAGTTTATTTTTTATTTTTCAAATCTTTTTTGCTTTATGAACATATTTTGCTACTGAATTTTCCTTCTTTCATACACCGTTTTCTCTTCATCGTCACTTGAAGCAAGCTACCTACTGTTTTTTTCAATAGAAACGCTCAAACTTACTATCTAGTGTAACTAGTGTATGTATGTGTGTTAAGCTAGGTCTATGCGGAGCTGTTTATGTCTATAATATGGTATATATCATGTTCTTATTATATCATATTATTGGTTTATTATATTCTATTATTACAGAATGATTAAACAATTTCAATTGTACACAATTATTTATGTGATTTATATATTAATTATTTAAATAAATCAATAATTACAAACAAGAAATACTTCCAAAACCACTAATGTTCGGTATTTGGCAAGACTCGAAACAGCCGTATGGTCACCCAAAAATTTAATAATTTTTATATAATTTAATAGATCAAAATTTTGTTGTTGTAGTTCAGTACTGTTTGAAACTTTTCTATTATGCATTTATCTAAGGCTGTGAGCATTTTATGGCGATAGTGTCAAAATTATTTAATATTTTGTGTTGTTTGAATTGAAAACGCCGAAAAAACAATGCAACATAAAATTTTGGTATAATACAATCCAAAATCGTACGTTCCACAACAGCTGTCAAAAATTCATAAAATGCCTACACACCCTATAGCGTAGATAAAAGAGTACGTATGTTGCCTGACGTTTACGCAGAGTTCGAAATAAACTTGTTGTTGTTGGTCACGAAAATTTACGGAAAAATTACTTGGAAAAATAGAAAGAAAAATTTGTATCGAATTTAAAGAAATTTTTATTTTTGGTTTTATAGCGCTAAGCATACGATAATGGGTAAGTTATAGTTTGAAAATAATTGATAAATAAAATTCGAGCAGATTGCTGTACATACGGCTTAAGTTTGATTGTGTGTACATGTGTGCTTGTGCGTGTGTGTGCGTTTCGCTAATTATCGATTTTCAATTGTGGTTGCTGCAAAATGCCGTAAGGTGCGCCAAACGTACGTTGTTTGCTCGCAGATGGAGTCGTTCAACACAACAAGAGGATTCTCGGATTCTCAGTCAGTTATCAGACTTACGGTGAATCTGTACGTGACCAAATAGAAACGGCGTTTCATATTAAAAAATAATTAAAAATATTTTTAAATAAAAATTATTCGCGATCGCCGCTACTGCAGCTCGAAATTGCAAGCCACGTCTTTAGCCACAAAAAATCACATCGGAGCACAATAGAAATTGGTGCAATATGACGAGGAAGTGCATATGTGCTATTTAATTCGGTAATTGGAAAATCTTTGTGAATTTCTGTAAACATTTGCGAATCGTGGAAACAAACGTATAAACGTATAAGCGATAATGAATTCTGACAAAGAAAAGCAATATTGACCCAAATCAGTCACCTTCAAAATACGTTGTTCCAATTACATATTTGCGTAAGCAGAATTGCAGTGCCTATGAAAGTTGTTACTAATTCGTATTCGCATTCGTATTTATATCAGTTTATACCAAGCAATTAATTTTAAATGCAAATATATTATTACACTTGCAGATGCGTACAGTATTTGGACAACATAAATATAAAAAAATTCCTTCCAAAGAAATTCAATTCACACATTTCGTCGTCGTATGCAGAGGTCGTATGGCTGGAGGTTAAAATGATAGTCGACATGGCCTGACCTGACCATATGCTTCTAGGGACATGTTATCGATTAACCGTTTACTAATGTATTTTTATGTACATAAGACGTAAGCCCATTTACGTGGTTTGTGACCTCAATTCGTTTAAGAAAATTTACTTTCTTCAACTAAACACAAAATTTTTATTGCATTTAAATGATCGACTATTGTGAAATAGAGTGTAATTTCCCTTCCCTTCCCTTCCCTTCACTGCGCCAAAACAATAACTACGCTATGCGGGGAAATTTACTGAAAATGCGTTCTTATGAGAAACTCATTTGACGTCATGGTCTCTGTCTCTATCCAGTTATCGCCGCATAAGCAAATAAGCCTAAAAATTATATTAGTCAATTCATGCCATATATCAGAAATATTATAAAATTATTACCTAAAAAATATGGCATATGGCATATAATTTATTAAATATTTCATAAATGTGTGTGAGACTTGAACCCACTAAAACCACCTCTTAGGAATGAATGGAGCAGATTTCCACAGCTTTAAGGAAATTTCCTTCCAGTAATCAGAGGAAAGAGATGAGAGTAGATAGACTTTATACCTATTTATATTTATTTATTTATAATATTATAAGTTTAAATATAATATAAAATTACGTACATTACAATTATAAAATTATTAGAAAAAAATACAAAAATTTTTGTTGTTGTGTTTTTGCTACTATTCGATAAAAACTTCTCTATTGAAAACAATAGTTTATTTTGAGTATTTAGTTTCTTTTCTCCAAACGGATGTTAAACATCAATTTAATATAAAATTATTACCAAAAAAATATAAATAAATATTTCAAAAATATCTTATAATTATTTATTTATTATAAATTTAAATGTAATATAAAATTATAAATAAACTAAAGAAAAGCTATAACATCACTAGCCCTAAGCTTATGGTTAGCACTCTGGGCTCTATAGGAATTACTTTTTTATTTTAAATTTGAAATATTTTTTAGACTAAACGTCTTTTTTTGGTATATAGTTAAGTATGACCTACGTTATTTATAAAAATGCAGACATCGCTAGTCGTACACTACTCCAGATAATCATCAGACTAAAGAACTATTTCCTATTCACGATTATAAACAAATGTCCCTCAGATAACAGCTTATATTATTGGCAAGGTACCTAGTGGGATATTTTAATAATTGTTTTCTACCCACAACTATAAAGAAACAACATTAGGTCAGAGCTTAGATAGCTTGTACGGTACCTAGTGGTATATTTTAATAATTGTTTTCTACCCACAACTACAAAGAAACACCATTAGGTCAGAGCTTACATAGCTGGTACGGTACCTAGTGGGATATTTTAATAATTGTTTTCTACCCACAACTATAAAGAAACACCATTAGGTCAAAACTTAGATAGCTAGTAGGGTATCTAGTGGAACATTTTAGCTTGCGTTACGGTTCCAAGAAGAACCGGGTCTACATTCCGAAGCCACTCGTCGAGTGCGAGGACCAAGTGCCGTTTACCACATACAAAATGAAATACACATGGAGATCCTTGGAGGTTACAACAACAACTAAAACAACTACCTGCGTTATCAACTAAAGTAGACTCCATTTGTCTATTTGATATGACAAAATGTCATTTCTGCTTATGAAGGAATGAGACTTCTTGCCTTATTTTTTGTGATTGTCCAATTTTGATTTGGATTAAAAGAAGAATACTAAACCCCAAACTCTATCCTAAATATCATCTGACATTAGAAAATCCTTAAATACTATCATTTAAAAACTTTCTGTATATGTGTATATATCGAAATCGAATATTTGGGATTCGTTGTTTTGTGATCAGATTTAAAGTAAAATTTTTTTGGTTTGTAGTGCTTGCGACACACATAAATTAAAAGTCATATTTGAAACAAATAACTATAAACTATAACGGGTTTAAAATAACAGACTCTATAAAAAACCGTTGCCAAATCTATATACCCGGAAAATTGGAATCATGCCACG